CCCTGAAAGGGGCGGAGCGTGCGCGGGAGGGTGAGGAGGGAGGAGACTACCCGCCACAAGCAGACGGGTGGCGGCGCAGCCAGGAGGGCGGGCGCGTCCCGGCGACCGAGGGTCGGCGGCTCCCCCTCCCGCAGGGCGGGGTGGTGCGTTCCGAGTTCCCAGGAGTTCGCAGCGGGCGGGGGCCGCGGGAGGGGAGTGGCGGCGGCGGGCGGCTCCCGCTTCAGCCTCGGCAGTGGCGTCGGCGACGGCGGAGTCGAGGCAGCCGCCAGCTCTCGCCGAGTGTCGGCGGGCGACGACGGCGCAGGAGACGGGGGTTGAGGACACGCGCTCCTGCCCTTCTGCGCCGCGGCTCTTGCCGCCACCCAGAGCCTGAGGCGCTTAGGCGCCGGGGCGAGCGGGCGGGCCGGGGCAGGGCGGGGATGGCGCGGACCCCGGGCCCGGCCCCGCTGAGTCCCGGAGGCGGCAAAGCACAACTTTCCTCCGCGTCTCCGTCCGGGGCCGGGCTGCTGCTGCCGACCCCCACGCCGCCGCCCCTGCTGCTATTGCTCTTCCCGTTACTGCTCTTCTCCCGGCTCTGTGGTAGGTGAAGCGGCGGGCGCGGGGCTGAGGGAGGCGCGGCGGGGCGGCCGGGGGCCGCTGGTCCTGGCTGGGAGGCGGTTACGCCGGGGCGGTTGGCTGCGCGAGCGGCCGCCGTGGACTTTGGCTGGAAAGTTTTCGCCGCGCCCCGGGCGAGGCTCGGGAAGGGCCGGGCGGCCGGGCGGGCGAGCGAGCGAGCGAGCGAGCGAGGAGCCGGCCACTGGCTTCCCGCCCCCGCGGCCACGCGGCTTGCCGCGCCGGGCCCCTTGGTCGGCGGCTGAGCTGGGAGAGCGGAGCTCCGCGCGCGCTGCGGGGACCGTTACTGAGAGCTGCTGAGCGGAGGAATCGGAGGGAGCGGACTTCGGGGCTGAGGATAGGATGCCGGGATGCACGTTTGCCGCCGCCGCCGCCGCCGCCTCCTTTCTCCACGAAGAAACTTGAGCCCGGAAATCCCGGGGACGGAGCCCGGTGGACTGAAGCCTTCGGGTTCACGCCTCCTGGTCTCCCGGGGAGAAGGCACCATCTTAAAACTCACCGTGCATCAGCATCTCCCTCCAAGCCAATTTTCCTCCGTCCTCTAACCCTGGCCTGCCCTGCATACCTTTAACTCCTTGGATTGAGCACAGATGCTACCTTTAAGCTAGCTGCCTTCCAGTTCTGGGAGCCTTGGCTGTTGAAACAAATGGCCCCAGGTTTCCGCCCCGTGCCTGTTTTACTCCGTGTTTATAAAGGAGCTAATTTCATTGTAAGTTCTGTTCTCAGATAGCCACTTTTAAAAGGTTATTTAAAAAAATCCACTTTTTATGCAAGAGACATAGACGTGATAATCAGTGGACGGCACTAATTTGAGAAATAAAGCCACCAGTCTTTGGATATCAGACGTGTGGGTAATAGCAAAATGCTCCAGGATGTTGTTCCTGTAATTCTTGATGAGAAAGGTGAGGGCTAAACTTACACTTGCTCTAACATTGATTCTCAAGGCATCTGAAGTGTTAAAACTGCTCTTTTACCAGTATTTATTAAAAGGTGCGTTAATAATGCAGATTTCTTTCTTACTATGATTTGGGAGAAAGAGAATCTTGTTACCGATAAGTGAGTCAGGGTAGTTGGTTGTGAGGGTGACAGAGGTTGAGAATGAATGCCTCTTGTAGACTGAGAATTTCCAGTCCCAGACCACTGCACTTCCAGTGCTGGAATGAGCGTTTCTGATTTACATGGCGCTCCAGTGTGATAAATGGCATGTTATCTAATCCATACAGTTTCTATGTTGCCACTCCTTAGATGTTTGGTTCCAAGACACAGTTCTTAATCCACTTGCCCCCTTTTTAAGTTGATATAAGATTCTAGATTGAATTTCGCTGTTCTTATGTTCCATTAAGGATGCTTACAATTTGAGTTCCAGAACACTTGGGGGGTGAGGGTAAATGCTTTATTCACCAGCTTGACTTAGCTTCTATTAAAGACTGAGAATATTTGTACCTCCAGAGGGCTTTGTGCTAGACAAAACCCAGTAATCGCTGATACACACCATAGTTTGCAATAATAGTTTCATAGTGGCTGTATAAGTGACTTGTTGATTACTTTTTGAAGAAACATACTAGTTTTTAGGAAAAAGAAAGAAGGGAATCAGTTTTTAAATAATGTCTTATGATCTATTGGAGGAGGTTGATAAATTGTTTCAGAGCCTAACTTAAGCAATGCTAGCAAATGGATTGATTTAGAGAAGGTGATTTGGAATTTTTAGTCAACTCTGCATGTAGCTATAGACATAGACAGTAGCTCTGTTACTGTGTACTGCTCCCTTAAAGAGCTTCCTTTTTTGGCTTACAGTGTTATAACACCCCAATTTGTGAACTCTTGTGACACGTTTTTTTCTGTCAACCTCTATTTTAGAATTCAGTCTCTTTGAATAGGCCACAGTTGTCTTGACTTAGGGATGCTAGTAATTATGGAAACAGAATTTTCTTTTGCTCTTACCACTTGTTGATTTATTAATGGTAATAATGTTAACATTCCTAGCACTAACAAGGTCTGGTTTGTACTTAATGTTTGACTGGGTAGACCAGTTTTAAGTTGAAAAGAGTTTTAGGCTTTGAAGAGCTGATCTTCAGTGACTCTAGATAGGCTGACTAGACTCTAGTTGGATGAACTTGCACTGAGGGACATTAGGGGACTCTATGTGACTCAGTTGGCCTTAACATAAATGACAGAATGCATGAAATCCAGTTGGGGAAGCGAGGGGAGGATGCCAATGGAGGGGTTATAACGATTAAGATGATGATTAAGATGTAGTGTATATGAAATACACAATTCAATAAAAATATTTTTAAAATAAAAATAAAGATACTTCTACCTGATGATTGTTGATTGGAATGCTTTATTTGTTTTATCAAGTATTAGTTTGTAATGCTTTGGGCTACTAGTTTTGTTTTTGGTTTTTTTGAAGCAGGGTCTCCCTGTAGCCCCAGCTAGTCCAGAACATGCTGTTTAGACTAGGTTGTCCTGGATCTCACAGATATCTGCCTGACTCTGCCTCCCAGTGCTGGGATTAAAGAGCTCTACCACCACACCTTGCTTTGCTGCTAGCCGTGATGGATTGTTTACATTTAGTATTTCAGCAACTAATTCTGGTTAACTTTTATTGTGCTAATTTGTTAAAAATATCCTTCACCACTGATAGACCTCATCTAACCTAACAAAATGTCAAAGTTGCTGTGTGTTTAGGGACTATACACTATCCCATTTGAAGAACTAAACTATGGGGATATGGGGTAGGGTGGCACTGTGTAGTCCAGGTTGGTCTCAAATTCCTGATCCTCCTACTTAACCCTAAATTCTGGGATTATAAATGTGCAACTCCTTGCTTCATTTAAGAACAGAACATTAAAATGAGAGCTTTAGAGACTGAGGAACTGTTAGTTATTTTAAGTCTTAAAAGAGATACGTATTTATAAAGTCAAGGGTATCATGATTATACAATATCCAACTTAACAAACCTCATCTAATTTTGAAATTTCATATTTCTTTGTGATGATAATTATGGATTAGTAGATTATGCAATATGTCTCACCTTTTCTCCCTCCTGTTTTTCCTTGGATGCTTAGAATGTTCTGTTAACAGAGATGGGGTACTGATGAGTTAGAAGATGGGCTGCATAGTTTAGAAGGCCCCATTTGGCTCTGGGATTCTACGTGATCTTGGGATCTTGGGATGGGTGTTTGATAGAAAGTAAGATCTGATATAATAGCAAATCCTCGAAAACACTTAAAAATACTTAGGTACTTTGTAAATTCATACATATACAACATGGCAGTGTCCTGCCCTCAACATGCTTGCTGTGTTTTGATAGATACAAAGGAAGTAGATGATAATAGGACAGTAGTTTCTGTAGAGATGTGTATGAGGTCTTGTTTCCTGGAACGGGGACACCCAGCTTACTAGGTAAAAAGACATATATGGGGGGAAACCCACTTTTTTGTTGTTATTGTTGTTGGTGGTGGTGGGGTGTGTGCGTATATGTATGTGTGTGTTTGGGTGTATATTTGTCTGGGGATGGAATCCAGGAATTTGTACATGCTAAGCAAGTACTTTTACCACTGAGCTGAACCTTGACTCTAAAAATCACTTTTTAAAAATGAATTGTTAGATCTTACCGAGGTTGGAGGTTGGGCAGTATAATGGTTATCTATTTTTCTCCCTTTCTCTCTACATCTTCTGATGTACTCACTAAAGTGGCAGTTTGAGTCTGAGCAAAGACTGCCACTTACTAGACATGAATCACTGGCAGAGTATTTATATTATCTTCTTACTAATGGGGTCTTACATGATGATTGGATGACAGAATAAGACACTGAGTGCATGGAATATGGTAGTTCTTAAATGTTAGCATCTAATACATTGTGCATTAGAAACTAGCAAGCCTGGTATTGGTGAGTCTTAAAATCTAATCTGATGTCCTGAATAATTGAGTTTTCAAATCGATAGTTTACATGTTCATACTGACTATATAGCACAGTCAGTAGTCCAGAAATATTTGTTATATTTTATACAAGTAAACAGGTAGCCAGCTTGTAAAATGATGGAATGTAGTCAAGTTAACTGTATTATTGCGGAAACTAGTTGAATGCTTCCTCAGGAATATCAAAATGTATTTCATGACTTGGCAGTTTTTCACAAGGTCACTTAGAATCTTAATGAATATACTGATCATGGGGGACTAGAGTCTACCTGTAGCATCAGGTTGGGGCCTACATAAGTCTTTCTACATTATTGACACGAATTACTGGAATGTTAACCAAATTTAGAAGCAAATAGAAGGAATAAAAATCTTCATTTCTTGTATCTACAGCATCAGAAACAGGAATAGTAAGGCAGTTAAATACATATGTACGGATAATGCTTAATTGCTAGCCTATCTTATTTATGTCAACCTCATTAATGATTGTGAGAATCTCTTATCTGGAATGCTTTGGATCAGATTTGTTTTAGATTCCAGATGTGTTTTTTGAGTATTTGGATATTTACATACACCTAATGAGGCTCTCTGTGCTGCATAGCTTTAGTGTCAACTTGACACACCTCGGTGGAGGGAGCCTCAATTGGGAAATTGCCTTCATTGGACTGGCCTGTGGCCATGTCCATGGAGCATCTTCTGGATTGTTGAGTGATGTGGAAGGGCCCAGCTCACTGTGGGTGGTATGGCCCCTGGGCAGGTGGGCCTGTGTTGCATATGAAAGCAGGCTGAGCAGGGGTCAGGGGAGCAAGTCAGTAAGCTGTATTCCTCCATGGCCTGTGCTCCAGCTCCTGCCTCCAGGTTCTCGCTATGAGTTCCTACCTTGGGCTCCCAGATGAACTGTGACCAGGGATCTGTACGCTAAATAAATCCTTTCCTCCCCAAGTTGGTATTGGTCTGAGTGTTTTGTCACAGCAATGGAGAAACAAACTAGGGCAGTATCCGTAGGAAGGACTCACGTCTAAATAGGAAATGTTAATGCTTCATATAT